TTCCTTTTTCTATTGTTCCTTTTTCTATTGTTCCTTTTTCTATTGTTTAACGATGAACCTTTTTTTCTTCACTTTTGCTTCTCGCCAGCGCAGGTATTCATCCGAATATAAGAACACGTAGACATAAGGATACTCAAACCGAAAACGAGGACCGTAGTTGACTATACACATGTACCATTATTAAATCAATTAAATCCATTGTACCCCGAAATTAAGTGTGCATTTAAATAAAACTGATCGATTTTCAAATTAAACAAAAAATGTATTTTCACTCATTTTTTAGTACTGGATATCAGCACAGCAAAGGTTACCTGAGGTCAAAGTGTGTTAGAATGCCCATAGATTATCTCCTTGTATTGTTTAATAAAAATAAAAATTGAACTTAAAAATTGTGAATAGAAAAAACATACACACACAAAAAATTGTAATTAATTTATGTAGAACCAATCATTGACATTTCACGCCATTTTATTTAGAAACATCAACTTTTTTCGAAAGCCATCGATATATGTTTCAGCCCGAAGGAATTGAGATGGCGTTTGTGTATGACACGAGACACTCGAATACACAGGAATACATACAGCGCAAGTCAGACGTGCGTACACCCATGCAATGTAAGTTGTTGTCGCATCCAATCACTTGATTTTGTCGAAGAATTATTTTCTTTTTCCTTTCAAAACAGGCTCAAATGCGAACGTTGTGCAGGCAACAACATTGAAGCGGAACCATCATCGACCGATTCCAATTGCACATCGGATTTATCACAATGGAAACACTGCAACGAACGATATTTCGGCTGAGATGTCGGCACGTTGTTGGGCTGTATTTTTGAATGTTTCGATGAATGATATTACTGCTATCAGACGATCGGAAAACGGGTCGATTATTTTATTGACATTCAGACGATGGGCTTGTGATCTGCCCTTGAATGCCGTATAGATTTCAGCGACAGTCTTTATCAAGACAAGTTTATTGTTGAGTGCATTCAACGTCTGACTTGATTTTGGTGCTTCGTTGTTTGACAATTTCGTTTCGTTGAATAAATCCTTGGCGATTTGTTTGATGGATTGAGGACAACTTTTGAATAGAGCACTATCACAAGTCTTCTCAGCTTTTGTGTTCAAATCCAGTTGGATTGATCTATTCACCTTTGGATCGCCATATGTTTTATTCTTGATAGCTTCAATATCTTCCAGGCTGGTTTGAATCAGAGTGTTCAGCGGTTTTGTGCGGCATATGGTCATTTTGCATCTTGGACAGGTCTTGAATTGAATGCTTTTTTCATCTAACTTATCCTGCGCTACCCAACTAAACAATGCTTTAGATTCAATTATGTGGCCACAATCTACCAATCTGATGAAACGAGCGCCTTTCATTTGTTCTTCTCCGAAGAGTATCTCATACATTTCATTTTTGTCGCAATTTGTACAAATTGGCGATTCACCACAAAATGCTACCGAGGGACGTTGACATTTTTCACATTTTTCGCAATTTGGTTGTTCGCACAGTTCACGGTCACATTGCTCGTGGCAGAGTCGGGTACATTGTGAATGATCACAACGCCAGTTACACTTTTCCATACACTGAAAAGAAAAAAAAACAAAAAAATTATAACGGTTGATTTATCATTTTTTAACTATCTCTATCTATATTATGTATGTGCCTAACGAAAAAAATCAGTATTTCACAAGTGATAATTACAATGAACAAAACTGTGATTCGATGACAATCCCTATTATTAAGCATTTGACCAAAAAATGAAAATCACAGAATACTTAATTATTAAGTATATACACTTGTATCGTTCATAAATGAATAAACAAATAAATATTATTACACATTATTAATATATCTCAGAGAATTTTCTAATTTTTAAAAAGGCCATCAGATCCACAAACTTGGTCAACAGTCCGGTAAGCAATCTTCTGGCTGAATGCAGCATTATACAAAAGGCCTTTACTATGACAAAAACTGCACTTCAGATTTAGAACCAATGGCTGAAAATGCCCAGCTAGAACCACAAAATCCTTGATCTTATACTACAGTAACAGCACATTTTTCTCTCCAGTCAACAGAAGTTGGTAGTTGAAAATCGTCGAATGCAACACAAATTGAGGACTTATCATCTGTATCGATCTCACTTAATGAAAGAAAAATGGGAGAAAATATCAATTTGCTCAATGAAAAAAGAAGATAAATATTTCTCACTGTATGTTGGGCTTGTGTCTACTCATCCTTTCAACTAATTCTTCGTGCGTCAAATCGCTGTATTTGTTCAGTCCCATTTAGAATGGAACAATTCCATTTCCATAATGCAGATTGTGTTCATCGATCTTATGTTTGTGATCAACAAAAACTTGAAAATGATGCATCTCCTCAGCAGGTGTATCATAGTGCTTTGAATGCTCTTCGAGGGGCAAATCACTCAAAATAGTAATTGCGAAATTTAGCAGTGATTGCACGAGAAAAAAGTAATTGCATAGGTAATTGCTACGAAAAAAGTAGTTGCGAAAACTAAGTAGTAGTAGTCTAGTAGTTGATTAACAATTACTACATTTTTCTTGCAATTACCAATGCAATTACTTCTTTTTATTGCAATTACTTTTGAGTGATCTGCCCCTCGATGCTCTTTCTACGGATGAAAATAAAGTCTTGATGTGAACTTCTTTTTCATTCGTCTAAAATCGAAAGCAACGGTTGCACTTCGTGTTCTTTATTTTCACTCATCGAAACATTGTCAAAAAAGATATTCGTTAATCCTTTGACGACCAAGATTGAACGGGTGGGAATTTTGCAATTCTGATTGCAGATTCGTGATCAGCGACCCCAAAAACCTTAAGAAAATTTTAATTAGAAGAAAAAAAAAATTTGGTCGGTCGACCCCATTTTTTCAGTCACTCCATAAGGTTACATGTAAAACTCAAAAATGAGACCAAAAATAGAGTGTTACTGGCAGAGCCATATCGTATGGCCTGAGTAATATTTTCGAACATGTTGAGTAGTTTTGGAAATAGGAAAATTGCCCGCATTTTTTCACCTAATATTCCGAAGTTCTAGCTCTAACCGTTTAAAAAATATAAGATTTTGAAAAGTGTGAAAAAAAAGTTAAGATTTTTCAACTTTGGAGGCATATGTGGAGCGAGCTGGTGAAAAATGTCAATACTATATAATATTCTTTGGTACCTACATTCATTCTCTTTCCAAAAAGCCTATATTCATCAAAATCGGTTAACAAATGTGGAAATTATAAGCGAAAAACAAAATGGGACATATGTGTCCCAAAGGTCGTCAAAGGGTTAATACGATTTAAATTCACCTTAAACTCGTTCCATAGACGTTCCTCAGACGTTGGAGAGGCCACAACAAAAACCGATATTAAAACGAACACAGCAACACATTTACTCATCATATTTTTTTTGCTTAGAAAATTCCGAATTTCCAAGTAAAAACGAGCACTCAAATTTCACACTATATTTTCATAAAAAAAAGATGAATAATTGTCGTTGGAAAGCAGCAACCGTATATTTGTATCAACATCAACACTTGAACTAATCAAAGAGAAATAAGAAATTGTAGAGAAGGCTAGTTCATTTATATTGATAGGTGAACACTCCTAATAGATTCTAACGAGCTCTTAAAACGTGACAAAATGTGCTCCAAATTTACCAAACAATAGTTATATAAGTGGCAAAAAATATGATTTGATTGCATTTTTTCTGTAAAATAGCCACTATGCATATACATCGCACACGTTTCCGTAAAATGATTCATCCAAGTTGTTTATTTTTAGATTTTGAAAATTCGCCACTAAGAGAGTGACTGAAACTTATTATGAATGCAAAAATACGCACAATTCATTGCATTCACGCCAAAACCACAAGAAACATTTATTTATAACAAAATCGTTTATTTATATCGTTCAGTTTTATTTACAGTAAACATTGAACAAATGATTGTATGAACGGTAAAATGACCTTCCAAATCAACGAGAACTAAGTAAACAACACCACAGTTGAGTTTTTCTCAACTCAAAAAAGAATATATGGTTTCTTTAGTGATTGAGTGATAAATTTAATGTTAGATGAAAATGAATTTTTTAGTTTATTTTTTTTTGTCTAAAGTGCACTGACCTCAGATTTATCTAATTATTAGACAAGATTCAAATAAATTTTCTTTCTTTAAATTCATTTCAACAACATATCAGTTGGTTGCGGATTTTCGCTTGCATTTTGTTGTATCCCTTCGATTTTCTCATTTAAAATTGCTTTGATTTCATCGGTAGTTTTCAGCATGAAAATCGGCACCTCGTCATCTCTTCTTTGGAATAGCATTTCGCCTTCAAAGTCAATGAATCCCTGCTTTCTTGCTCTCAAAAGTAAACCAACCAGCTTGTTATTTATTGACGCGTAAATCTGTTTGATGTAAAAATAGCCTTGAATTTATAACATCAACATTTTAATCAATCAATCTTACGTCGAATAATTCACCGAAGAACATCACTTTTAGCTCCGGTGTTTCTTCACAATGCACATACCCTCCAGTATCAATGATTTCACACAATTGTAGCATTTCTCTGATTATATGGATGTTGGCTTTTTGTCCACGGGCTTCTGTTAAACTTCCTGCTACCGGTCTAAATATTGAAAATACTCAATATTGCTAATCGACATTCACCACTCAAATCCTACTCTAAATTTTCAAATTCAAAATCCGTAATTTTGAATAAAAAAACACGTTTTTTTACCTTCCATATTCTTCTCTGCTAGGGTCAGGACGTGGTGAGCTCTGTGCATTTACGTTTGCAACTGCACCTCTTTGTTCTCTAAACCATTGATTATGTGACATGACTAATTCTGATTATTATGAAATCGAATTCTGAAGAATTCCGAAACGAAGGCAATTTTTTCAGCAATATTTTTAAAAGCAGCAAAAATTCCAAAAATATTTTCTTCAAAATTTTTTCCAACTCGATTTCACAATGTGAAAAATGCTATGAGATCAAAATGTTTTTGCGACTTAATACGCAATTCCGTCAGAATGAAAACGAATTTGCAATTTATTTTTGGATTTCTTCCAATAAAATGCTCTTCTCAGTACGATTCGTTCGCAGCGACTGATCCGTTCTCAGCACAATTTCTGCATGCGGTATATTCAGAATAAATTGTTGTTGTTGTTTTTTTCGACATCTATAGATAGTCTCGTTTATATACCGTTGACTTTCTACTCCAATTCGATTCAAGATTTTCGATTAACAACTTACCTATTTCTTTTCCGTTTAAAAGACGTTACTTCGCCATTAAAAATCTAAATGAAAATCAAATACGAACAAGTGTTTCAAACACATTATTTCATACACGAAACTGATACTGTTCATTTATTTTAAATTCTGAATTTCTTTCAAAATCACGATTTTTCCTTCATTTTTTTTTTCGTTAAAAAAATCTTCGAAAAAAGATGCATGGCAATCGTCAACTTATTATAATAAATCCTCTAGGTGAGTAAGATAGTATAGCATATTCAAATCCCATTGAGCTTTGCTTGCAGTCGGCCGCTTCTGTGGATCAGGGTCTAGCATTTCTCTGATAATCTGCATGAAACATATTAGAGATCAATTTGTCTTTTTTACAAGTTTTCATAAGTTAATATTATACATACACGTGCTATGGAAATGTTTTCTGGATTTCGCATGAAATCTGGAAATTCATTACTTCCAGCGTCAGTCAAAACATGATGTCGTTCTGAATCTGTGCCGAAAGGTGGATGTTTCAACTCAAAATAGATCATTCCGAGCGAGTAGATGTCCGATTTTGTCCCATAGTTTGATTTTGAAGCAGTTTTTGCCTTCAACTCAGGTGCTACATAATATGATGTGCCCACATGTCCGGTATGTGAGCTATTATCATTGCTGCTACTGGTGATCGTGGTTATTTTTTGCTTCTGTTTGAATACCAACTCAATTGTGGTGGCTAAACCAAAATCGGCGATTTTCACGCGTCCGGAAGAGTCTAATAGAATATTCTTTGGGTTTAGATCGCGATGAATGATTTCGTTATAATGGAGATAAGCTAAACCTTGAGCAATGTCAATAAACCACTGTTGAGGTATTCGTTTCCTTGCAGTATGGCAAGTTTTCATTGCATCCCTGGTCAAATTATTGAATGTTTTGAGCAGAAATAAGGATGTGTCATCGTACAATTTACATGTATTTGAATTACCGGAGAGTCATGTCACAGAGTTCCATTTGAATGATCATCATATTCTTGAGCGGTAAATTCGAAATAATCGATGAGTCCGATTCGTTTGTTAGCCTATGAAATATGTTTATTTATTGTAAATTTCCAATTCCACTTAAATACTTACTCAGGTGTGTAAGAGTATTCAGATTCCTCATCAATAATTCCCAATTCAGCTAAATCGACTTCTTGCTCCCAGCTCCGTACATATTTTATAACATTTTCATGATTGAGCTGTGAAATGAGTTCGACTTCTCGTTTCACTTTTCCGCATTTTATTTCACTTCCCTTTGGAATTTCCACCAATTTCAACGCATATGAATCTTGACCGTTCGAGTGTTTTGCTTTGATAACATTTCCGAATGATCCACTGCCCAATGAGCCTTCAATGTCGAAATGCTTTAGAAAGGGTCCGTCATAGATTGGATTAAATTTAACAGAATGTACGTTTGTTAAATATTCATGTGACAATAAATCCCAACACGATTGCTTTTTTTCTGAGCAACATTTATAGATGAAATCTTTCATCAAGCGCTGAGTCTTTATATTCCCATATTCCATTAGAAATCCAAGGGCATTCAAATCATCTGCTGCTGCTGGATGTAATCCCGCACCTTTTAAATACATCAAATATGGTATTAAATGGAAATCGGCAGCTCGATAAACTCCCGATTTATCCAAAAATACGGAACACTCATCAATACGACTATGTTTGAGTTTGGGATCCATGCTATGCAAATGTGAAATTGCTTTTAAAACGCTTTCGGCCATTTGTGGAAGACTCGGCACCACGCCTTGTTCGAATAACTTTTTTATGCTTACACCTTCAACACATTCCTGAACTAAATTCACATTAAAATATCCATCCGAAATGTTGCAGTCCACATTTGTGTACGGTATCAAATTGACATGTTGAACCTTTTCTATGAGGAATTTGACACGTCTTTGGAATTCTTCCATAATTTCTTCAGCATCATGATTAAGTTTACACCCTCTGATGTCACAGCTTATTAGACATTTGTCATGTAACGATCGAAGATCAATTTTCCAAATTGTTATAACAACATCTTTTTCGTCGACCGACTTTCCCTTGAAAACATCACAGCTTTTCATGAATAAATCAATGGGAGAGGCCCCTGAAAATTGAATATTCTTTATTAAGATGTTCAAGGACATAAAATTTCAATTTCCACTCAATAAACAGCATTCAATCATTTTCACTTTTAGAATCCAATGTAAAACTTACCCAAGACTGGTTTGAGATAGTATTTGCTACCATCAGCAAAAGAAATAGTCTGTTGATCATCCGAAAACATTTCTACAAATTTCACACTATTTATATATGGTGATCTAGCCTAGATGGAGAAATAAACAAACAAACAAAACTTTATGGTATTTCAAGATGCGATGAATCAGACGAGATGTCACGTTTGACACTGACATTGAAGTTTTATCCGTCTTCTTTGTTTGTTTATTTACTTGTGTGTGTATGTGAACCATATGATCACAATGACATTTCATACATCATCCTTCTGGAACATTTGTATAGACTTATCTGATAATTTGTTTCAAAAGGGCCAAATATTGCCATTCTTCGTTATTTTGAAGAGAGAATAAACACTCATATAAATCAAAAAAAATTCTTCTTTTTTTATTCAATACAGAACTTCCAAATGCTAATAAACAAAAGAGTTCAAACAGAAGCTTTTAAAATACTGTCAACAGATGGCTGTGTGATCGATCGTAAACAAATGATCAACGGTTTGTTTATTTTTCAACAACAACAGAAAAGCACGTTGAATTCATGGAAATAATTCAGCCGAAGTGATTGTAATGAAATGAACGAAAAATGGTTAACCTAATTTGAATCGTTTGGAAACAAAATTATTCTAGATAATTTGCTACGATTCCATCATTTGCTTTCATGACCTTTTGGACGAAAAATAATTCCAATCAAATGAAAAAATCCAAATATTGCTTGAATCGCAATTCGATCAAATTTTATTTGAATAAAAATATGTTTCAATTAAAGTGTGAAGAGTTGAATTTAAATTATTTTCATTTTGTCAATCATTTATTAAGTTGGACAACCATATTTTCCAACAAGAAAATTAAACGATAGGAAATAAAGCATCTGTGGCAATGCCACAATGATTGTTGTGATTACGGGAAATCCGGAAATAGCCTTGATCTCCCCAGCTATCTCCATAGCTATTTTTAGCAATGTAATAGTCTCTGTCGTATTCATCAGTCCCATACCTAGGTTTAATTATGACAAAAAACAAGAATTAAAAGGTAAGCATATGCTATAAAAGACGTAATCCAACGGTTATCAGCTGGATTGTTTCCATACCCAACGAGTAATACAGAGTGATCTAGGTTTTCTGTTGCACTGCTACATCTGTGGTCATGATAGATGCCATCCATATAATGACGAAAAGTATCATGTGAAGAATCAATCGACACTGCAACGGGACCATGGAAAGCAAGAGCTTTTTGTAGCTCTATTTCATTACCACTTGGAATACGCATAAATCCTTTAACATTGACTCTCGATTTTTTCGCACGCAACATGCAATGATGATCGTAACCACGGTAGGGATACGATTTTCTTGTATATATACCATGATCACGGATATAATTCATTGCCGAATCTAGATCTCCGCCATTGCAACCATTATTTCCATATGATTTTGAACAATCGATGACATTCTGTTCAGATAACGACAATAAGTGACCAGTTTTGATGGAATAATGGATTTCGATGGCACCGACTACAGCAAAAGAATAACAAGAACCACAACTTCCTTGATCTCTTACTCTGGTAACATCTCCTTTGTCGCGCCAGTCCACAGATTCTGGTAGATCGATATTGGCTGATTCAGTGAAAGTTGATGCCAAAATTTCATCATCGTTCAAACTTTTGTTCAACGAAAGAAACAGAAACAGCAAAACAATCAAGACATTTTTCATCTTCTAAAAGATGTGTATAAAATTCAACTTACTCTTTGTTGGATCTGTATCCATTCATTGTTTTAAGAAAATCTTCATGTGTCCAATCGCTGTACTTATTTAGGCCCATTTTGAAAGAAGCAACTCCATTGTCATGGTGCATATTGTGTTCATGGATTTTGTATTTGTTATCAACAAAAATTCGAAAGTGTTGTATCTCATCATCAAGTGTATCATAGTGTTTGAAATGCTCTTTCTGTAGATGAAAATTGAAGCTTGATTTTTGTTTAAAGAAAAATTCTCGTTTTCAGGGTAAAATGTACCAAATATAACGTCACCTTAAAAGAATTCCAGTCAATCATGTCAGACATCAGGAAGGCATCAGTTGACATGATAATTGACAAAAATAACACAAAACAAGCACTCAGCATTCTTTTCTGCTTTGGAAACGCGAAAAAATGAAGCCACTACAAGTACTCAGATGTCACACTTTGAAAAATTGAGAGAAACTTTTCAATAATTTTGATGGAAGACAGAAAACTGATTCGTTTGCATTGTTTGTAATTCTTTTGCACACTGAGAAGTACTTGTACTGATGGCTAGCTCTTTTATATAGTTGGGTACACGTTGCAAAGAAATCAAAAGACACGAATTTATCATCTTTTAGCGTGAAAATATGCATTCAAAATTGGCAAAGCAAAAGTGATAACGAAACAAAAACAATTTGTTCAATTGAAACACTCATAAGACACCGATTGAAACACCGGTGTTAGTATTAGATTCGATAATATGTATAGAACAAAATACAACCATAGTTTAGGTTTATTTATTTAAATTGTATGTTTCACAACTTTTCTTCACTATATTTCTCTTAATTTGCATTCTAAACCATATACTGGTGTCAATTTGCGATAATCTTACACTGTTGCTGGGTGCTTCAATTTGAAATGCAAACGAATAGAGTTAAGTACTTTAACAAAAACTTATACATGAACAAATTGAAAGAGATTCTCTTAAGAATAATTTTATTTCTCAAAATTTACTGATAGCAAATGTAAAATAAAGTTCAAACATTGAATTTTGTTCTGGATTAAAAAACAAAAGAGTACAAAAAGAGACACGTCTTATGAAAATTAAAACAGTTCAGAGAAATTAGAAGGATATGACATGAAACAAGTCTTGATCGGTTGGTTGTGTCCAATGCTTCATTTCTTTTTGCTTGTCTTTTTTTCTTGATTCCAGGGAAAAATATCTTTGGATTTGTTATCTCACTTCAAAAATGCCATGTTTTTATGTTAAAATAATACATTGTTTTGTGTAAAAATGTCTCATATTCAATGGAAAACCAGATTTCTTCAATAACACAATCAGATAATAGGAATTACAGCTCTTGTAGCAATTCCGCAATGATTCATCTGATTTCGAGATATTCGAAAATAGTCCATTTCACCCCAGGTCGTGCCCTGCGAAAAAAAGAATGAAGATATATTTAGTACAAATACCACAAGAGCTGATATTTTGAGAGTTTTACTTACCCAGCTATTTTTCACAATGTAATAATCTCTATTATAATGATCAGTTCCATAACCGACAACCAACACTAGGTGATCTAGGTTTGTGCTACTGCATGCAGGTTCGTGATAGATGTCATGCGATATATGATCAAATGAATCATGTGAAGCATCAATCGAAGCCGCAACAGGGCCATGGAAGGCAAGAGCTTTCTGCATTTCTTCTTCATTGCCACTGGGTATACGTACAAATCCCTTAACGGTAACATTTGATTTTTTTGCATTTAAATTGTAAACAGAAAGTTCGGTGCCGCTGTAGGGATAACTTGTCTCAGCATCAATACCATGATCAGTAATGTATTTGAAAGCATCAACTGCCAAACCGCCATTACAACCAAGGTTTTCATACGATTGCGAACAATCAACTAGATTCTGTTCCGATAACGACAGCAAATGGCCCGTTTTGATAAAATAATTATGATATTATTTGCTGAGTAAATCTTCAATGCATAGTAATCTTTGCCAGTAGCACCATTGTACTTTTTCATAAATGCTTCTTTGGCGATGGCTTTAAAACGCTTGCAAACACGCGTCATATTCAAAAGAGTGGTGTCGTTTAAGGTGATCATCAGTGGCAGCAACACTTCATCTGGCAGATCGTACAAGCTTGGTTTTACAATGACTTGGTTGTCCATTTTTGATCGATTTCTGTAATTAGAAAAAATTATTCAGTACTATGTCTGAAATGAACATACAAAGACAAATCGATTCCGAAGAAAACACATGGAGACATGAATGTCAAATCAGTAAACAATGCAACACATTTTATATCCAAATCACAATCCAACCAGTACAAATTCATTTACCTTTCGAGTGAATTCACAGCTGGCTTTTGATTGACCAATGTGGGTAAATCATAGGTTAGTGTCTTTATGCGAAATGAATTTACAACAATGTTTTGTTCTTCCAAAAGGTAAAACTAGATAACAAAATTACTTAACTAATAAATCGTGTCGCTGAGCATAAAAATGGGAATACAGATCTGTTACAGCAACAACCGAACATAAAATATTGTGCCTCAAAAACGTTACATGAATTTCCATCTAACGCGAGTGTAACATGAGTTGCATTAGAAACAGTATTAGCTCATGTTACACTCGCGTTGGATGGAAATTCATGTAACGTTTTTAGGGAACAATATTTTATGTTCGGTTGTTACTGTAACAGATCTGTATTCCCATTTTTATGCTCAGCGACACAATCGTATTCGAATGAAAAAATGTAAATGAAATGGGGCACAAGGGTTTGAATTTTACGGATAGTGGTATTTTCGTGAATACGTGTGTTCGGTTGAGCGGTCCATGAGAGAAGAATGAGTTGACATAAGAGAAACAATCAAGTGGCTGTGAGACGGTGACAAGTGTGCTGCTCACTCACACACCTGCATTCACCAAAGTGAATCCGAGTGTGTGTGGCTGACACTTTCCGCCACCGCACGGCAAATTTAGAAATGACAAAAGGCACGCACAGTACGTAAGAGCTAATGCAAAAGTCAGTTGATGCGCGTAAGTAGCGCCACCTCTAATGACTACGGAGAGCTACCATAAGTCGTATGCAATTGATGTTGAGAAAAAGAAGAGAAGGAGTAGACATTCTATTCATTTACATTGCAATAATGGCAATCAGTAGAGATGGTGCTCATGTGCCGATCATATCACTGTTACAACCCTTTGAGAAACGACAATTTAATTTCTAACCCCTTCTAATATTTCGACACTTTTTACTGCTTACTTTTTGATGCCACAGATTCAATATTTCTTTCCCGTAGTTTAGATGCTCTTCAGCGAAAAATGAGCGCCGGTTTGTGGTGTGAATTTGATTTGAATGTTTCGGTTGTAAGAGAGCATTCTGTCAATTCTCAATTGTCAATTTTCATGATTCAATTCAGTGGCTAGAAAAAGAGTTCATGGGTTTTTTCTGTAGTAGTTTTTTCTCGTTTTTTACTGTGCTTTTACAATTTCACTAAAGTGTTTCACGTTTCTTCCTCTCTCTTTTGCAGACAGCTTAACAAATCAACCTCGAAAAAATTGGTTTAAATTATTAAATTTTGTGAACCAGGCCGTTTGTTTTGATTTTTATTTATTTATTAACCCTAGGACCGGAACATGTGAAAAATCCTTAGGTCCGGACCATGGGGTGTACAGTGCCCGACGTGTATTTTATATGGGAAATAGCATTTTTGCTGCAAAATTCAAACGCACAACTGAATAACTTCGCGATTTTTTAATTTTTTTTTTATTTTTGGTTTATTTACGTAGAAGAATATCTGAAATTATGAATTTAGAAAAAAATTTGATGATTTTGAAAATTTCGTTGAACAAAAAATTAAATTGAATGGGATGACAAATGCAAATTTACATATATATACAATGAGATGTGATGAGAAACAGCAAAAGAAGAGAGAAAGTGAGTAGAAATCGGTTTTCCATACAAATTGTATGGAGTCGGGCACTGTACACCCCATGGTCCGCTTTACACACATGTGTTGCCGAGTCGCGTATGTTACACATATTCATACATATACATATACATGTTTGGTGTAGCATGTAGCCAAAGGATCAAGCTATCGAATGGTACTTGAAGAAATACGAAATTTTTAGTTGGAAGCAATTTTATTTACATTTGAAAACGAGCTCGGGTGCTGTACACCCATGGTCCGGTCCTAGGGTTAAACAAAATATTGATACATGAAGATACATGTTTTGTTTGAAAAATTGTGAAAAATGTTTTTGAAATTTTTTCTGAATGTATGTTTTTTTTTGCGTCTGTCCAAGGAAAAAAGTTTACCAATGTAAAACCAAGGTGCTTGGATGTGTTCTACTCTAATTCGGGCATATCTTGTGGAACTATGTCGGGACTTTTCGCTGCTTTCTTTGGATTGCACACCACCGTCGCTATTCCATAAAATGAATTGCGTAATTCAGGTGACATGGTTAAATTGACGACTTCATCCGCTTTGAGTGATTGATGATCTTGATTTGCCGTTGGTGATGCCTCGTATTCTTCTTCTTCTTCTTCGCTAAACAGATCCAGCGATGGTGCACATGGATGTTTTTGATTTGCCTCTGATGGTGACGGTGAATGTGATGCCTCGTCGTTTTCTTCTTGTTGATCTTCGTTGATCGGTAAATATGCTCCTTTCTTCTCATCGCAATCCGCTGTCACTTTTTCATGGATTGGATTGCCAACCTCAGGTGCCATGGTTAAATTAACGACTTCATTCGCTTTGGGTGACTCGATCTGGTGAACTTCGTTCTAAATAATGCAAATATTATTCATAAGTCGAAATATATTGTTCGAATTTTTTTTTAAATGTTGTACCTGGTTCAACTCATAAATATAATAGTAGCCATTTTCAGATGTATGTTCTCCAATTTCGTCGTTTCCAATAGGAATTGGCGGCATTGCATCGTCAAACATATAAAAACCATTGGGTGTGGATCCAATCGCAGTATAGTGACCACTGTCTGCAGTTGGACCGGTGTGAATTGAACCGCTAACAAAACGATATTTGGTTGACGTCGCAAGCTCGATCGCACAATATGGGCTTAGATCGATTTGTAATGGCGGTGCGATCAAGCTGTAGACTCTCTCCTCCACAGTTCTTTTTTTCACGATGCTGCTTACAAAACGTCTTAGTTGGATGCGTAAAAGAAGAGGCGGTACATTGATTTGGGCTCGAATCGTCGATGCCAAATCCATGCTTTCGCAGCTGGAATTGCGGTACTGTGACGTGTTGAAAGTTTTGGTCAACAGCTGCGTCCATCGAATCAACATTTTTGATATCCAAGATGAATTGACTAAATTCCTCCGGGTTCAAATAGCATCGAAAGCCACACGCACCACACGAAAATTCGTTGCACAATTCGCCTCTAAACAGATGTTGTATCGGTGAGTTTACTCGGGTCAATTGAACATTTTCTTCACGTGATAAATATGCCGTTTCAATGGCATTTAATAGGCCACACAGGTAAAAGTATGCATCATCTTGATCGCCAATAATGAATTCGTGACCTGGGATGTTAGGCAACCACTGGAACATGTCTCGCGGCGTAATGGCACTCGTTGCATTTTGTGCATCCAATGCTGTTTTATACAGAATGCAAATTATGCACGTATGGTCGCCGCTGCATTGATTAATGTGATGGTTTATATCGCCAAAGCGAAGCCAGTCATGAAACGCTGGCGCATGAAGTAAGCACTGTATCGTAGAATTCATGAAACAAGAATTTCCTTGATTTACCAGCCCAGTGCCAATTGACCATGGGAAATCTGTTCGCCATCCCAAATTCAAATCAGTTCGTTGGATTCCACGAGTGTTTAGTGGAAGCGGTTGTAGTGGCGGTTGGTTTCGTTGGTGTTGATCTTGTTGATTTGCTTTTGGTGGCGATGGTAAATGTGCTGTTTCTTTGTTTTCTTCTTGTTGTTTTTCGTTAATCTGTGAATGTGGTGCCTCGTTCACGGTTTGTTGTACATTTTCGAGTTTAATGTTGTGCAGTTTGTGGCCATGAAGAATTTTGTCGGCAAACTCTATTGCCCATATACCTATTGAATTGGAAACAGAGATAAATAAAGTTTTCGAAGTGAATTGCAAAACGTATCAATTCATCAAATAGATAGAACCATCAAATTTGATCTTACCGGAAAATTTCACTTCCGTTTCAACTTCACGTTTGAAATACACATCATGAATGGTGGTGGTTTTTGAGTGATAACGAACTTTACACAATTTCTCCATTTCTTCTTGTTCATTAGATTTTATGTCGGATTCCGGAGCAGTATAATAGATATTCACCGATTTACTCCCCTTGTCATATCTTATAAATACATATCGGCCGGTACAGGTTTGTGCGAACTGTAGGTCGTTAGCATTGCTTTTGTATTTGATGTTGATGTTTGCAAAGTTCAAGCATCGCACTGACAACATTTTGTGCGACGGATATTGTGTATTGACAAGATTCGCATATGCGTTGATGACCTGCAGAAAAAAGTTTCATACAAGGAATTACAATAACAAATCACAATAACAAAATGTCAATCTGTATAATGTACCTGATTCGGAATGGTGTACTCTTGTTCCAACCATTTTTGTGTGTCCCATTTGGCTTTGCAGTCAAGGAAATCATACCAAAGGACTTTTTCTTGATACGAGTCACCATCGATCGGTTTGGCGCGAAGATTCACATTTGCCTTTTTCGCCTCTTTTTCAAACGCATCAATTCGATTGAACAAGTATTTGGAAGGGACGTTGACTAAATCGATTGCCTCTTCTCCAGCAATTATTTGTTCCAGTTCGTTCGCCAGGTGAATTTTATTTGGATGCTTCGACATTCGAAAAACACTTACACGTGTTTTGTAACGTTCAATTTGCTCCGTAACCTTCACTCCGTGTTTGTGTCTCACACCATATTCCCGTGTATCGGGCATACAGTGCCCGTAGCGCATTTTTTATGAAATCTGGACTGTGCTAAGAGATAAATATATGGTATTTTGGTGAAGTTATAGGGCACCTTGAGCACTACAACTTTGCTGAAGACATCAAGTCGTTATCTCTTATCAATTACGCCAAATCCGCGAAAAACCGCGGAAAACGCGAGTTTTTCTTATCATTTTTCATGGTACTGATAAGAGATAA